TAATTTTGTATTTATGAAGATGATGAACTTCCAGCCCCCCAAGCTGCATGCTTCTTTTTTTTCACTTACTTTGTTTCTTTTGGCTCTTCTAAAAGGGAAATCAGGATGTGTTATACTTTGGAGAAATAAAATTGGCATCAGCCCTGTCTGAGAAGACCTCTCTGTGATGGAAAATGAGTAAATAAACCACTTACTATAGCTTTCTCTGAAGAGACTAATACACCGTACTCTGCTGAACAGTGCACTTCTGACAGGAAATGGGGAATGTACCAAAGCAACCTCCTTGACCCAAACATTCCAGAGTTTGTCTACTCTGAGCATTGCTCAATTGTATTTTACCCAAAGTCATCTTCTTCACTGTGACAAAATTTCAGAACTTGTTTTATCCAAGAATTCAGGCAATGCTGATCTGGGTTCCCATCCACTTGTGCAGTACAAGAGTTTAATGATTCATGAAGGCATGAGTTTGTTGTTTTGTGTTGAATAAATGTCTATGCATGACAAAAGATATGCAAGCAATATGTTTAAAGGGGAAGACAGCACTTTTCAGATGATTATGGCATTTTTCTTTCAGTCTGGTGGTGCACAGAACTCCTGAACACATGCTACAACCATCCAGAAACCCATATCTATTGCAGTTAATTATTGTACTAATTCTTCCCATACGTTAGTTGAGTGCTCATTGTAAATTCTCCTATCCAGTCATTATTCAGAATGATTCCCAAGTCCTTTCAATGAATGATATTCCAAACCATAGGTTATTAGAACTATGAATTGCAAATATTTGTAATGAATTACTCAATTTGTGCTGCAACCAGAGAAACAAACCTTTGTATATGACATGTGAGTTGCAATCTCAGCCATTGAAAAATGAATAGAGCATGAATTTCGGATTGTAGCCACACCTGCAGATTTCAATTCACCATTTGCATGTGTCCTGCCTGAATTTTGCAATTGATGGTGCACATCGTAAATTAAATAGGTGAATATCCAGAGGTAAAAAAAAAAAAAAAAAAAAAAGGGTTCTGGAATTACAAAAACTGACAAAAGGCAAACTCAGAAAATAGGGAAACAAAAAATTTTTTTCAAAGCTGAGTATTTTTTCCCATTGTACACATAGATCCAGCTCTAACCAAATCCTATCTCCTGGCTGTTCGTGATGTCTTCAAAACACGTATTGCACCACATCTTACCCTGCCCAAGCAATGGGTGTCTCTCACACCAGCTGATGGAGAGTTCAAGATAAAAATGAGTGACAGGAAATCCTTTCCCCATCTTCTGGTTCATAATTTAGGGATAAAGTGGGGTGGTTGCCAGGGGATTAAGCAAGCTGTGGTCACCCTCACATCATGGGCAAGCAGCCGAGCCACTGTGCAGTCTGCTCCCTCGCCCCATCGCCACTGCGGTTGCACCTGGCCCCAGGTGTGCCGTAAAAAGTCTCTCCCTGCCTGGGTCACCCAGAGCACTACAATCTTCACAGATGACTTGAAAAATAAATTAAAAAAAAAAAAAAAAGAAAGAAAGAGAACTGTCTCCCAAGCGGTCTCTCAGTCTGTGTGCGGTAAGGGCGTCTGCCTCTTCTCACTGCCGTGTTTTATGGCACTCTGCTCCTCCTTCTTCTTTTTTTCCCATTCCTAATATAAATGTGAAAAATCCCCAAATGGGAATGTCAGAACATTTTGACACTAAAGTTATCAGAAGAAAAAAAGAAGAAATTACTTCCCTCCCTGGAAGGCACTCTCACAGGTCAGAAACATCCGAGAACAAGAGCCTGCATTTTAACAGTGATAAACATGATCTTTGCACCTGTAAACACACCGGCGAGGCGATTGTGAGCAAGGACAGAATGGTTGGGACAGGTAGAGCTGAAGGAAAGTTCAGATCTTCTCAAAATTGGAAGTGGAGAGGTTAGAAATCCCAGACCTACTGTCAACCCCTCCTGACTCCCTTTGAGGCTAAATGACTCACGTCAGCTTCATACAAAAGTGCAAATCTCTGCGGGTTTTGGGGGAAGAACTCTGCCCTAGATTCAGCACAAGGTCTGTCCTTCTCTTCACTGCTATCCCTGCCAGGGTACAAAAAGCAGTTGTAAAATAACACTTGCACAACTTCCCCATTTGCAGAAGCTCTTGGTCGGGAAGAAACAAGTTTGAGGTTGGAAAAGAAGTGTGTGAACCGGGTCCAGCCCCTACGCAGCTTCTCAGTTGGGTTGGTATGAAGCCAACCCATACAGGAAGGTTTCAATATTTCAGCTGCTGGGCACAAACCCCTTGTATTTCCAAGCTAGTAAAGCAAATGTAAGCTATACCTTGAGAGAAAGTGCCTCACTAAGTTTCTCTTCCATCCGTGCTGGGTCCAACCTTTTTTGCATTTAAGACAGAAGCATTGAAGAAATAAAAATTCCTCAAGTGACATGAACTACCCAAAGACTACAGTTGGTTAGTTTTGCTTTAATTCCTGCACCTCTATCATCACCAGTGCATAACCGGCACCAGGGAAAGAAGTCACACTTTTTCCATCAGTTACAAAGCTGAGGAAAACAGAAAATAATTGCTCTCTGAAGTGCTGATGTGCAGAGCTGCATCCCTCCAGCACGTGGAGAGAAGAGGGGATGCGGCAGTGGGAAGCGAGTGCCTTCTGCAGAGCTGGAGTGATATGGAAAGGCGGGAGATAATCGGATTTGCACGTGCAGTAAGTCAAAGAGAGGTGACACGCTTTTATCCATACAAGTACTCATAAAAGCTAGAAGTGGACAAGATGCCCTGTGCAGGTTTGGTTCTTATGGGGCCTTTTGCAATGGTTGTCAGACCTAGATTGACAGGACTGTTACACATTTCCCTGGATAACTTCTATGCAGAGCAGAGTGGTACAAGTGGGAGAGAGAAGCTGGAAATGAGGAAAGCCTGATCTCAGCTCCATGGTGGGATCCACCATTTACTGCAGCCCACCAGAGCCTCCCAAGCTGGCCGGGATGGCCAAGACCATGGCCACCCTTAGCTTTGGAGGAGAGGTGACTCTTCACATTTGCTTTGGCCACCGCAGGGACATCGCTATGTTTAAAAAGAGTCTCAAAATGTGGAGTTTGTCAGCTCAGGAACACTCAGCAGAGAATGAACGAAATCAGCGGCAGCTCAGCCACCCTGGAGGTGTGCAGAGCCTCCTTGTCTGCTTGCTCGGGAGCCTGTCTTCACCGACCAGCGTCCCCAGGGCAGTGCTGGCCTGAGCCTGCCAGTCCCACAGGGCACAGGCAGGACGGTGAGGTTTCACAGGGAGATAACTCAGTGCAAAAGCAGCGAGACAACTTGGAGACATGAGAAGGCACCAGCATCACCATCCGCAACACTTGGAGGTCAAACATCAGCACGGACTGAAGCAATTCACCTGAGCTGATGTGCTCCCTGCGCTCCACATCTCCAACCCACACCTAGAAGAGGCTCCCTATCATCTCTCTGCCTTGTATACTTAACAAAAAGCATCTTGTTGCTGTGCTTACTAGCTAAAATAGACACCACTAGCTCTTTCTTTGCGTTTCGGCCACCGGGCTGACCCCTGCACCCACCGGGTGCAGGCATGAGAGCACGGAGCCGCCCCAGTTAACCAGGGACGGGAGCGAGGCCTCTGTCCTCACGCAGGGACGCATTTCCAACGTTCGCCCCAGCAGTTCCCCAGCCACGGGTACTGGTCGCTCGCTGTGGGATGAAGAGCTGCATCCAACAAGGGCTGCTCTCTCAGTTCTCGTAACCACAGCAGAGGAGCATCTGTCTTGTCCCCGGGAGCGTGGCTCCGATAAAAATACAGGCTGAGCGTGGCATGGTGCCATGCATCCATCACAGGCAGAGGGCTCTGGGACCATGGCCCCCGAACAGTTTTTAATCAGCAGAAGATAAATGTGTTGTAATGTCCTTCATAACTTGTAAAACTTGAGAGGTCTGCCTCAAGGTTGTGACAAGCCCTGCCCCATCTCCCATCCATTATACGGCTCAGGACTCTTTCCAAAACTTCAGAGATCACTGCAGAAGGGAGCTTGGGTAAACCACCAGATCAGACTCAGCTGGGAACTGCTCAGTGTCTGATTTAGTCTCCAGATGGCTTCAGGTCTGAACACAAATATGGTTACCAAGTCCCCATCTGCATGTGAAGAGCCATGAATCCATCTACCAAAAGAACCAAATCTACTCTAGAGAGTTGCATAGAAACACCTATGGGTTTTTTTTCAGAGATTGCAGTTTGTTCTGATATCATGGGAGATAATTGTTCCTCCTTCCCTTCCTCCTGTGCTCTGCCTCCCACCTCTCCACTCAGTGAGGAGAAGACAGCAGAGAGTGTCTCATACCACAGATCCCTCCAAACCCCTCTGCACCCTGGCAGTGCACAGCCCACACACTCTCCTCTCGCAACGAACACTCTGTGGTACTCAGTGAAGGGTGGGTGTGTAAGGTGTGGGAATCCAGTTCACTAGGACCCCAAACTGCCAACCAGGACTGTGTCCTGTAGCCCGTGAAAGGCACGCTCAGCTCCCAGGGCTCCTGCAGAGCTGGGTGCCGCTGCCTTGCACAGGGACAGGCTTTGGCTAGGTTACAGTAAAAGGCAGATACCCCGGCATTTTCTGAGCTGCTGAAACAAAAGGGCAAGCACCTCTCCTCCCAGAGAGCCACTGAAGTGCCCCAGCAGGGTCACATTTGGGGAAGTTGTTCCTCTTTTGCCGTTCATTAGTTGCTTCCCTCAGACCAAACAGCAGGGCTTGCCAAAATGCATACACGATTTCTGCTTTCTCCCAACGCTTTCCTGAACACGCCTCTGGAGAAACTGCACATGCCAACACATACCTGTTATCTACAAACCCAGGCTGTCTGAGCACCCGAAGGATTTCTGCATGCTTTTCTTTCCCCCTCCCTTTTTAAACATATAATTGATCAGATATTTCAAATGCAAAGCAAAACCAAGCCTTTACGGAAACTCTTTCTAGTGACTCCAGGCATTTTGCAGCATCTGAGAAACACTCACCTTAGTACATGAGTCGATCCATTTATTGTGGTGGTGGAACAGGGGACCGTCTGCCCCAAGATGGAAGGCCTTCGGTATCGCTCATCACCACAGCACAGAATGATGAGGAAGGCACGTCTGAAAGACTTGTTCAGGAAGGCGTAGAGGAAAGGGTTCAACCCTGAATTGATGTAGCCCAGCCACAGGAAAGCCGTCCACAGCTTCCCCGGCACCGTGTAGTTTATGAAAGGGTCCACTATGTTTGTGATAAAGAAGGGGGCCCAGCACAGGCAGAAGCACCCCATGATGATGCACAGGGTCTTGGCAGCTTTGGTCTCAGTCTTCATGCGGTGTGTGCTGTGCTGGTCCGGGTGGTGCTGCCGGCCATCGGTGGGGGCCCCTGCGCGCTGCAGCACCCGGATCTGGCGAGCGTGATCCCTGGCCGTGACGTAGATGCGGTAGTAGGCCAGCACCATCAGGAGGAAGGGAATGTAGAAGGCCACCACGGAGCAGGTAATGGCATATGGCTTGTTGACCATGAATATGCAGTAGGTAGAGTTGGAAGCCTTGTTGAACTGCCTTTGCTGAATCTGGGGCAGGGGGAGGAAGGACAAGGACAAAGAAGGAAAGAAGTTCAGCACTTGTCCTCTGATACCAGCAGTCTGTTTGCCTGGACACCTCAACACCTCTCTCCGATTCTCTCTCTTCCTTCCCCTCTCCCATCCGCGGTACCTGCCTTACTCACTGCTGCCTCTCCTGCCCGTGCTCACACCATGGGCTCTCTGGCCTTGATGGTCCCAGGTCTGCTGGACCAGATTACATTGCAGCTCCAGCATCCTACAGCATGCCTCAACCTGGCCAGTGAAAATCACCTTGAGTCCCCAGTTCAGACATAGCAAAGGGGAGTAACTCCACTTTGTGCCATGCTTTTTTGCAGTACTCACTGCTCTGTTCATCAGGGTGTGGTTTTACACCAAGGATGCACAAGTTTCACCCAGCCGAGTCCCACAGGGAAGCCCAGAGAGACAGGGAAGGGACCAGGCTGCAGCAGCTTGGGGGGGGCAGCTCCAGGCTGGGGGGTGACACTGAGCTTCCCAGGCACAGGGGCTGCGGGCAGAAGTCTGCAGGTTGAGTCCATAGGCTGAGATCTGGTCAATGAGTTGTGATGGAAACAGAGACAGCAGATGAAGAAAGGGGTCTTGCATGTGAGTTTGGGGAGCAGGAGGCATAACTGGGACAGACAGGATTTCTCTGAGGCTATTCTTGCTACAAAACAATGTCCCTGCAGGTCCCTCAGGCCCATCATTTCTGGTGTTTATTCCAAGAAGAGAATAACCCCACCTCCTATTTAAAACTATAATATCAAAATTATTTAATCGAGCATGTAAGGAAGTTTACCGCTAAAGTAAACTATGAAGCATTATCACTAGGTGGTGTTTGAACCCCGCACTACCTCTCAGCATGCATGGTGAACACCAGCAAGTTACAAGGAAGGGCAGGGCTTGCACTGGTATTTAGAAAAGCTGGTACAGACAGCTGGGGGTCGAGTCTTTTCTGAAAAGGTGAGGGCGAGAAATCAGTGCAAGAAATCACATACCTGACATAGTTTGTCAAATAAACAAAAAGCACCTCCCTTTTCTACCAGCTGCATGACCTAAAGGTGCTTGTCTGGAAGCAACTTTGGCTTCATCACCTTGTCTAGGGGCTTGGCAGCTTACATTTGTTATTCACCATGAGCCAAAAAGTATTCATAGCTCCTTGACTGAGACTTGGCATAGAAGATGCCACATCTCTTTAAACAAGCTCTTCTAAATAAGGTGTTTTCACAGTTTGCCATTTTTAATTCCTGCATCTCTGCATTGGAAGGAGAGCAGATTTGCAGCTCTTATCTCTGCCCTGTAGATGGGATCCTGCAAGTGAAGCCAGACTGTGGTGGGGAAAATCGACTTCTGCTGGTATGACTTGCACAGGGGAACTTCACCTTCTCCCTCCCCTTCAAGACTCACTCCAAGACAGGGGATATTGATGGGAGTTGCCCAAAGCACCACACTTTCTGGCAAAGTCTAGGTTTCCTGGCTCTCCAAACGCACAGAGGGACCCTCAGGCTCAGCCGGCAGTGGCCAGCACTTTCCCAAGAGCTGCAGAGGCCAAGGGGAACCGAGGACTCCTGAGGTGCCCGTCAGGAGCCAGCTGGCACTTGGTGTCTTTTCAAAGGACTACTCACTGTACTGACTGGTAGACGCAGGTAAAATCTTCCCCCAGAGCCACCACTGTCTTTGTGACAGTCCTTCCAGGGCACAGTCATTTCAAATCCCCTTAAAGACATCCTCCAGAAATTCAGCAGCCCCTCTGCACTGACAACAATAAGTTTCTCCTTAAACCTCTCTTGCCTTCTTTTCCCTGAATATTGCTTTTTAAAAAGAATATACAGCACTGAATATATTTGAGGTTGGTGTACCTCCTTAGCTACTCACCAGATCAATGATGCCAATGCTATTCCAGCCTTGCATGATAGGGAGGAAAGAAATAAATGTCGGGATTACCCAGCACCCTCCAAGCATTACAGCGATGCGCAGTGGAGTCATCTTGTTCCTGTAAACCAGAGGCTGGCAGCAGATAGCATAGTACCTGCAAGGAGAAACGTGAAAGAACAACCATCATCAAAAGAGACTTCCAGGTCTTCAAAACATAAAACTGTAAAGCATTTTCTCCAGCTTGTTCCTCCTGCCTTTCAAAATAGAGGGGGAAAAAAAAAAAAAAAAAAAAAAAGAGTCTATAGACTATTTCCATTGACTGCCTCTCATGCAAGAAGCTCAGGATATTTTCACAGCATGAGTAAATAAGGTTTAATGGTGCTGTGCAGGGGAAAGCCAGTATTTTCTGTTTTCCAGCTAGGGAAAATGAGGCACGATTAATGCTGTGGTTTGTCTGAGGTTGCAGAGCAAGGGAGTGACTTCATATTCAGCCCTCCTCTCCCTGTGCACTTAGTCACAAAGCTGTCTGCACCCTCCTTACCACGATGAATGAGTCCACCTTCCTTCCATTTAGCCATAACTGAGTAAATGTTGGGGTTTTCCTAACTGCAATGGACATTTATTTTGACAAGTCTGCAAAAGCTGTTATTGCAAATTAACAAAGTGCTTCAAAGCTGTGAAAATGTCAGTAAAATGAAGTGTGTTTTTCCATAACTAAGCTCCCTTTCTACCTCCCAGGAATCAGCCTCTTGTCTGGCTGGGCTTTAACCTTCTGCCACAAGGACAGGGCAAATGTCTGCATGGGGCTTCCAGTCTTTTCACCGTCAAGGGGACGTGTCCTGTGCTCTCCTTTCTCCTCCTGATCCATCCGACATATTCATAGTACAACAGGTCTCTGCTCTTAAAACAACAACTAGCTATGAACTAAAAATGTCTTCTCAAAGAGATACAAAATCAACTCTTCTGTCTGTTTGGTCCCTGTGCTACCCACCCACCAGCCGATTTCTAGATCAGGAAGGTGTATCAAACCTAAAACTGGAAATCTTTTTGCTCTGAAATCAATATAGGCCCATAAGCATAGCGGATCAGCAACCATACAGTCCTGCTGGAGATTTCTGGTGGTCCTGACCTGACAGTCTGCCTCAGGTTCCCAATGAATCATTTTCAATCTGTAGAGTTTTGGATTTCAGCCCGCGTTGTAGAGACACGCCGGTACTGATGTCCCCACTGCTGCCACAGGGAACTGGGGTCCAGAGACACAGGAAGTGCCCATAAATTCTCAGCTCTCCTAAATAACGAAATGTATAACTCAGCTATGTGTCTGGCAAATGTATTTTCTTAGTGAATCAATGACGATTATCTGGTAGATGTAGTTTCCAGACTTAGTGAGCACAGAAATTATGCAATATGGTGCCCATAGGATATGAGCACTGCATTGAAGAAGTGGACAGTTTCAAAAACTATTTATAAAGGGAATGAGTGACCTCTGTCAGAGATTTTTTTGAGTCAAGCCTCTCATCAAGGCATAATGTGTACGTAGAGAGCCTCACTGCTGAGTGCCTATAAAAGTTGATTTTATGAGGTTGGTAGAATCATGAATGAGAGACATTAAATTAGCAAACACACACTAAAGCTGGACCACTAACCTGAGATGCCTGCAGCACATTAAAGTAAGACATATGTGAATGCACACATACACACAGCTTATGTGTATGTATTAGAGAGATGTCCTTGATGTGCATAATTTACTTCATCAAGATTTGAGTGGGAACCAAAAGTTTTGTGCTAAACAGGCATAAAAATCTACGAATTTCCAAATTTTCTTAAGGCTTTTTTAAAAAAAAAGTCATGTGGAGTCAACTGAATTGCTTTATTTTGATAAAATCAGATGATATATTCCACACAAAGGGCTGAAATAATATCAAAGTGTCAAAAGAAAACATTTTTAAAAAGTCTCTTTGAAACAAGATTCAAAATGTCACAGGGGAAAAATGTTGAAACAAGCATTCAACTATTTCAATTTGATCATTTCTACATTCTCTTCTGGTTTCCTGTGTGCATGAAAATCAGCCTGTTCCTCTGAAAAGTTTCACTTTCAAAGAAATGGCATGTTTGACAGTAGCTGTTCTTTTGGAGCACTGAGTGAAACGTTCCTCTTGCGGAGCCCATGCCAACGGCCATGGCAGTCCGCGGGTCGGATTCCTGTGTCCACTAACGCAGCCCTCACATCCCTCCTATGAGGGACAAGGAGAAGGTGAATAATTTACAGGAACAAGATTTACTTAGTTTTGGAACTTGCCTTCACTGGATCATGAGTTGAACAAGCGAGGGTATCCAACCTCGAAGATGCACAAAATTCAACTGGGTAAGACCCTGAGTGACCTCATTAAATGAAGACAGATTTGAGTTTGGCCCTGTTTTGAGAGGAAGGCTGGATCAGAGACCTCCAGAGGTCCTTTCCAACCTACAATTTTCCAAGTCTATCAGAAAACAGGGACCATCATGGTCAGATTTCAATATCTTAATGATTTGAGAGGACAGAATAAATATTTCTTTGTTCCTAGGATAACTACCCTCCTCATGACAGCCACAACATGCTTGTGTAACCTTGCCCTGTATTGCTAGAGCTTACTGTGCTTGGATTTCCCCCTTCTCTCCAGATTTCCTTCCCCCAGGAAATAAACTAACCTTTGAATTCAAATGCATATTTTTGGTAATGTTTTTGACTGCTTATTAGGACAGATGGTGCTTCCCTTGGCATTACGTGCAACTGCTCTTCTGACTCTAAACACAAGGGAGATATATCTGGCATATTTAATTGTTTACTATCTGAGAGACAGCTACTGGAAAGTGCTACCCAGTGCTGGCCATCAAAGGATTCCTGTGACATGCCTGATGGCAAGTTACTGCAAGTCACAAGAGACTACATTTATTTGCAGAAAGGGCAAAAGAAGAAATTCAATAAATAAATGGGAAAGAACAGTGAAGACACCAGCTACCATTTCACAAGTTGAATAAGCAAACAGAAAAGGAAAACCACAATACACTGCTAATTAACTACAGCATGCAAACAATTCTTCTGAGCAGTCTGAATTATTACATTTCTGTACCTCCATCTCTGCTGCAGCTGACAGCATTACACTGACTTGTACATGCTATTAAAGGCCATTAGAGTAAAAATTACGCCTGTAAAAATGACATCTTAAGCTCTCATATTTCTTCCCTCCCAGTGATTCAACAGCAATTTTCCTCCACTTACATGTCAAAAGATTATACATACATATATTTTGCTAACTGCTGCTACTGTGACTTCCCTTATGTTCAGAAAGTCGAGCTGGGTTCCTCCTGCCCTACATCGTTATCAGTAACAAGGTTCCGCAATCAGAGTGTGGGTGACAATTTTGCTGATGGCAAGGGAGGCAGAGAAGCACACCGTCCACTTTCCCATAGCTCAGCAGGATTTCCATTCAATGGCCCAGGGAGTCAGATAATAGAAATCTGTGTATGCTAACAGAAGTCATTGAAGTCACACCAATTTTTGCAGTAACTGGTGATTTGATGTATGTGATGGTTTGGGCATTTAAGCAGGTATTTATTCACTGAGAGAAAAGTAATTATATCTCTAAGATTATCAATAGTTTTAGTCAAAAGCTGAAATAAAGACATTTTCTTATTCTACATTTCTGCTTCCTTTCAAGCTAGAGCTGTTTTTCTGTGCTCATAAAGAATATCTATTATGTGCTGGTATGAGAGCGTGATGGATGAATATAAAATGTAATAGATATACATGATTAATACGATGTCCAAGTTTAATTAAATATTAATTCTTACTATTATCAGCCAAGACCCATGTTTCTGCAGTTCCCTGAAAACGGTAACTTCCCTGCTACCTACAGCAGAGCGGATGATGTGAAGCAGCCTCTCCTCCGCCTCTGTTATGACATTCTTTGCTGAAGGGGAAACACAAGAAACCCCTCCGTAAAGCAAATGTTATTATAATACTTTTCCTTTCCCACATCAGATGCCACATGAATTAATCAAGTGCTAACTTTTCACAGATGGCTCAAAAGAACAAATCCGTAGCTCTTATGGCCTTACGTATGGCTCTTACGGCCACTGCAGATACGTCTGGCTACCGAGGATTTGTGACCTGCCCAGTGTCACTTGGTGACTCTGCCTCAAGGAAGATGTATGTGAATCTCCCTGCTCTTCCAGTGGAAGCTCCAGTGATACGGATTTGGGGGGACCAATTAGTGCCAAGTGGATCGATTCCCAAAAGCAAACCTCACGTGTTACAAACACTCTCGAGGGGATGCAGGTGCACCTCAATCACGTTCACAAAAGCTACAAGAAAACGCTCAAAGTTCAGTGGTTCAGTGCCCCAACCTGTGGGGCAATTTCCTCCATATTCCTGCAAGCATCTCCAGCAGGAGCTGCCACGCTCACATGGAGGAGTCCGTACGCAGTGTCCACAAGCAAAAGCAAAAGGTTTTATCCTTTCCCTACCTGCTGGCTAGCTCCTCTTTACAGTCAGTGCCACACATAAAACCAGAAAGCAGAGAGAAATGCCTGATGAACTGTACATCAGCAACACATTTGTACCCAACAGCCTTCAGCACTTTGGGTAGAGAAGACATAATATCACATTCCTCAGCAGCAGGATCGTGGACAGCTTGTCTAATGTTAAACTTGTGTCTGTGTGAAGACAGGAGATGGCAGATAAGAGGGAAGCTGAGAAGGCAAAGAGAAAATAGACAGAAAATGAACCTCGGTTATATTCTTGCCTTTTGTAACTGAATGCTGAATCTGCTGTGCTGGTCCAAGGCTTTTGTGGAAATTTAAGTGTTGTAAATCATGGGTGTTTGCTGGTGCCATTTTGCCTGTATGAAAAATCCTACACATACATGCACACACATGTATGCACACTCCTTGTATCATATCCTGCCTTTCCTGCAGAAAAAAAATAAAAAAATCCAATTCTTGAAAAGCACATAAACTTTTAAGTGATGACATCTGTAATTATTACAAGTTTATGGCTTCTAGGCCCTTGGAGATGAGAAAGGAAAGTGGAGGGACTGAGAAACAGCATTGCATTTCAACACACCGGTGACCTAGATCTGGCAGCAACATAATTTAGCTGTGGTCCATGCAAGG